GAAAAGTGCGGCCTGCGCCATGCGAGCCCGGCCCAGCCTGGTGCCAGGCGCATGCACCAGTGTGCACTGGCACGCGTGAAACGGCGCCGCGAAGCAGCAACCCGTCAACGCAGCAGTGCGTGTCCTCCGCTCCCCCCCCTTCAAGAAAAGTTTTAGAATGCGGATCGCCCAGCTTCTGGACCAGGATTAGCTAATCGGCCCGCTGCACAGCCCTCTTTGGCAGCCTCCTGCCGCATGCGTATGTGTTACAGTGGCGCGGTGTGTTCACGAAAAGCAATACATGGTGAGTGCGTCGCGTTGGATGCGCACGGGGTGCGCAAGGGCGCGGCCACGTGCGCGCACTGGCGCAGCAGGCGCTGCCGCGGCGTGGGTGGCGCGCCGCCCTTCGGCATTTCCTGCACCAACGCCCGCAGCCCGGCCGCGGCGCCCTGTCGCGGGCCGTCCTATGCAGGCCGTCGGCAAAGAGCGTTGGCAGAGGTACCCAAAACGCCCAACCCCGGCCCCAAACAGCAAGTGTCTTCCCGACGCTCCCCTTTACCCCCCCCCCTGCTGACGGCACACCCGCCGCCGCGCTCATTGGCGCAGCGGAGGCGGCGCCAGCGCGGCTGACTCAGCGCCCAGACCCGCGTCGAGGCGGCGGCGCTAGTGACGCCCCTGCCGCCCCGCCAGCTCAGCCCCTCTGTGACGCACAGAGCGCCCCGCCTGGTCGCCCTCCACACGCCCATTTGTGTGCATGCGGGTCAAGGGCACGAGCGCCAGCGCATGAGTAGCCTCGGGCCGCACGACCGGAGAGCCCACCAGGTCGCTGGGCTGAGGCCCCCACGGCGCACGTGCCTGGGTCGCGGGGGTGCCGCGTCGCGCTGTGTCCCCTTCACTCGGTCTTGTCGGCCGCCGCCGGGGGCGGGCCCTTCCTGGGCGTGAAGCGCGACACCACCTCCTCCACCTTGGACTTGGCCGTGGTGAGGTGGCGCTCTGGGGGGATGGGCAGGGCGGGTGGGGTTGTGTGAGTGTTTGTGAGTGTGTGTGTGTGGG